AAAAATGAAATAGACCCATTACCATGAAATAATTAGGAACTGAAAAAAATATTAATAAATAAATAACCAAAGATTGTTTGTGTAAAAACAAAGATTTTGAACTTTACCACTGCCAATTTCTAGTGAGTTCTTGATCTCTCAGTCTCTCTCTCCTCTTTGCCTCTCTCTCTTCCCACTATATATTCATCCATGTCTTCTCAATATCTTCTTCTTCTGCCTTCTTTCGATTTGAATCATTCAATCAAACAAAAGTGAAATATATCTAAAGTTTGGTAAGAGGGCATTGCATGCAGCGATTGGAGGAGAAATGAATGAGACCTCTCTCTCTCTCTCTCTCTCTCTCTCTCTCTCTACTTGAATCTTCCCAAATCTTAATCTGTTCTTCGCTCTATTGCTTATTCTTGGAATATTCATGTTGATTACTCCCTCTATCAGGTTCTTTGTCCTTCATCCTTTATTCTACAGGATATAGTGACGGGTGGGAGAGAGATAGGACGGCAAATAAGGAATAATCTATCTTTATTTCTCCTTGTGCATGTAATCAATCTCGTCGGCAACAATATCAATTCTACCGCCGACAATCTCTCTCTATCAAACTGAAATACTTCCTATAATTCTCTCTCTTCTTTTTTTTCTGTTCAAACCAGTTTAGTCGTCAATGAATCTCAAATTGCGCTATCGATCTCTCTGTCCAATGGTCTTACGTTGCTATTTTTCTACCCCTCGTTTAAAGAAGAAGAAGAAGAAGGAAAGGAAAGAAATTAATTTTTGTTCTTGCATGTACTCTTTTCCTTTTCTCTAAATTTTTCTGCTATCTTCCCTGCTAATTGATAAAAATTTTGGGCTTTTCAGATTCTGATTTTGGGCTTTTCACAGGGTTTATTGTCAATGGAAAAAAGGAAGAAATACAGAGAGATAATTAGAGAAGAAATAAATTGAAGGCCCATGTTAATGCGAACCCAGTCCACATTTCAATAATTACAAGAAGCACATAAATAGACCCAATTGATTATAGAGTAAGGCAGCAGTAACCTTGATTTTACTTTATATATATTAATATTAATCGTGTATTATATTATCCTGAGATCCAAGATGACAAAATTAATTTTAACCTAGCCATGTACTAAAGCGGTGTCCAAATCTTAGAGTGTAGGATTCAAAGGAAACTTAGAACCTCTACTTATATTCCCCTCTCTTTCTTGTACTTGCAATTTGTGTAAAAAGCAAATCAATGAAATCTCATATATGTGCATTCTTGTAAGACGCAAAGTGCACACCTAATCTTGTAGTAATTACACCTCATTGGCTACTCGATATTATTCAAGTGATTGCCATCATGAATTACCAAAATCCCACAAATTGCTTGTTTGTCCAACAAGACCAATTACAAATGAAAGAATAGGTCAATCGTATTCATAGTAGACTTGGTTAAACACAAGGGGACAACTCTTTCAACAAACAAAAGAATAATAATAAAGAAGGGTTATAGGTATAATATGCCTCTCTACTATGACGTTTTATCAAACATGTCCTTCTACTATTTTTTATATCAAACATGCCTCTGTACTTTGTAAAAGTGATCAAACATGCTCTTTTGTTTAAATTTTCATCCAAAAACCGTTAACCGAGATCGAACTTTGGTTTGGGCGGCATAAATGTCTAATATATCCCTAATAATTTTACTTTAGAAATTTTTTTGTTCTTTTGTATAGCCAAATAATTCAAAGAATTTCACTTTGAAGAGATCCCGAGAAATAAAACGGGAGACAAAACTGACATTTTCGCTTCCATTTGCCAATGTCGGGTCGTCTAAATCTCGGGTCAACTATGATTGGCGATTTTTTCAATGGAAATTTTAACAGAAGGGCATGTTTGTTAATTTTTCCAAAATACAGGGGCATGTTTGATGTAAAAAATAATAGAGGGGCATATTTGATAAAACGTCATAGTAGAGGGGCATATTATACCTATAACCCAATAAAGAAATAATTGAGTAAATGGACGACTAGTCCACAATTAGGTTACCAGTTCGCGGAGCGAGAGCGTGAAAGCGTCGAATGTTGAAGAATTCAATATTAAGAGCATAAATAAAGCGTCATTATTATATTATTATATTTGTACTCGAGACCCAATAGTGATACAAAATGTGAAAATAAGTAACTAAGTGATGACAAAGATTAATCCCAAAAACTTTCCTAATCGACTAATAGTTGAATACATGTGTAACTAATTAATAATTATCCAAGTTTATTTAAAATGAAAATGGCTAGTCATAATCTGCAGGGACTATCTTGTGATTTCACATACTTAATGGGAACAAGGTGTAATTATTTTTTTCATTTATTTTGGAGATAGACACTAGATACGTGTACAAGAGGAGATAAGGTTTTGGATTCTGATTTATCCTATTTGCTCTCTCTCTCTCTCTCTTATCTTCTTCTCCCCAGTTTTGTATCCTTTTCTCTGTTGCGGACATGCAGTGTCCATCGAAGCCAAATTCCCATCAGAAAAATGGTTGAAAATCTCTTTCATCTTGCAGATCCATGATGAAGACTCTGCAAAATCGACAATCATCATTGTTGCCCATCTCTTCCATTAAAGCCTTGAGTCTGATCGTACTTTTGGGCCATAAGGAGCTATCGCCGAGGTCGTTCTTCGCCGCCTCTTCCGTGCCCTCTTCGGTGCCGACTGTCATAAAATTGAAAACCCAGCCCTCGATTCCCAGCTCTTTTGTAGGAGCGTCGGCGAGCTGCTAAGAAAGAAACATATGAAAAAGATGCGAGCAATGGCGGAAGCGGAAACGGGTCCGAACTAGCTCAGCACGTTGTACGCCTCAGAGAACTGCTTGAATTTCACCTCTGCATTTTTCTTGTTCACCAGCTTCTTGTCCAGATCAAAATTATAGGGGAAGATCGCGCTCCCAAAATTTGAAGTCTCGCTCTCGCGAAAAGTAATTCGCGAATTTTTAGCGAACTCCCAATAAATCACGATTTGACGATCTAGAGCGGGAACGTGGGGGGAAGTGGCGAATTAGGTTACCTAAGTCCACAATATATAATATATATATTTGTTTACACCATAAAATTTGTCTTGTACCACATTGGTGAGTTAAAAGATAATTAATGATTTATAAGGCCACACCCATTATAACAATTAATGTTGTTTAAGTTGGGCCTTATGGATATTGATTTTAAACCCAAACTACCAAGTCTGGAGAGGGACATGCCGCCTCAACGAAGAGGGCCATGTCCGTCTAAAATCTAGAGGCACATGCCACCTCAACTAGAAGGGTCATGTCCGTCTAGAAATCGAGGATGCTGCCCATGCCCAATACCGAATGAGTGAAAAATAAACCAAGTCTGGAAGAGGTACATGCTCCTTCAAGGAGAAGCACATACAACTTCAACGAGAAGGACCATGTCCATCTAGCCATCTCTAAAAGGAGACAAAAAATGACTAAGTCTGAGAGGTCCATATACTAAGTCTGAGAAGGTCATGCCGCCTCACAAGAAGGGCCATGTACATGATTAAGAAGTCCATGGCCGTGTCATGTGATGGTCATGGACGCGAAGCAAGAAGCATTAGAAACGATTGAAAATACTAAGTTTGGAAAGGCCATGCCGCCTCATGAGAGGGGTCTTGTGCATGACTGAGAGGTCCATGCCACCTCACGTGGATGGCCATGGACACGAATGAGAAGGGCGTGGTGGTGAAGCATTATATCACTAGTGACTAAGTCCCAAGAGGGCCATGGTAAGAAGTCCATGGCCATGAGACAAGAGAACCATGACCCCCTTTGCGAGACACCACATGCTCGTCAAAAGACTAGCATGGCACGAGATTCAGAACAAGACCAGGCAAGGAAAGCTACACTCCAAGACCCAGGACGGTTCCAAGAGAGGCACCTAGGCGGTTGAAGGAGTAACCACCACTCCGAGGAAGCAGGGAGTGGTTCTTTTTGGGATTTATCCAAGAGGCGGTTTTCTACTGAAGAAGGGGGAGCGGTTCTTTGTAGCAGTTATCCAACAAGCGGTTTTTTATGGCGGTTAACTCCTCATGGCTATAAATAAGAGGAGGGGTCGACAGAGACAGAGGTTCCACAACCAACCATTTGACACCCAATGTCAAACTTTACCTTTTTCTCTGCAATGTAGCCTTAGTCGTAGTTGGAGCTCTCGCTGTACCTCCATAGGAGTAGGAGTAATTTAATTTAGTTTATTTCCCAAAAACCATCAATCAAACACCCTCGTTCGAACTTTGTTTGAAGAGGTTTGAGCCGTGTCTTAGAAATTGTCATCAAAAGAAGTCAAGGTGCATTCAATTCGTTTCAACGCAAGTTTTCTCATAGAAAAACAATATTATTTATAGATAAATCACAAGTTTGATCACTCGGTTTATTAACATGTTTCAGGTTTGTCACTCAAAAAAAATTATTTTCGTATTGATCATCGACTTTATAATTCTATTCTTCTCTCTTTTTGTAATTTTCTCTCTCAAAGTACTCGTTACCAAGTGACTACACCAACACGTACGTTATTTCCCACACAATGAAAGCCGATTATCGTATAATCTTTCATATTCATCTTGGGAACAAAGCCCAACTTCTTATATATCTCGATCACACATAAATTTTAAAATCTATGATATGTAATTTATCACCACAAACTAACAGCAACATGGTCCAGCAAAAGCAACAAATTGATTCTTGAAAGAGTCATCATACATAATTGTTCTATTTCTTTTGACACCAAGAAACAATTTATTTTTCAGCAAATCCAGAAACAAAAACAAAAAGTCATAATTATAATTTTTTATGAAATTTCAGTCTCCGAGAACGAGAGGTCGATATATAAATAATAGTCACACCTTTTACAATCTTGACCGATATAATCAACGTTGTGCCGATAATCAATAGATGATCGTTATTCCATCAAGGGTTTCTCTTTAATTAGCAGAGTTTTAAGCATATTGACATGACTAAGGAAATAAGCTACTTGAACGGAGAAAATGAGATCTGATAAATTGTAAATAAAAAATTAAACCTGTAAAAATTATGAACATTATTAATATCTAAGTGTTATAGTCGGACCGTGACATTGATATTAATCTCCCTATGTGTGTATATAAATATAAAAAAAAATTAGATTATGCCCTTTGTGTAATCAAGTAATAGTTTACCAAACCAAACCCAAAAACCAGGCTGCCGGCCAGCCAATCAAACACGATCACCATCATCGTCCTCCTCCAAATACTGTTCCATTTGAACATCCTTCGACTTCAACGGCACGTAATCTCCAAGATACCCTTCCAAATGCTCTGAAAGCATCGACTTATCTATATTCTCATGATGATACGACTTGCACACAAAGTACAAAACGGTCTGAACCACCAACCCAAACAAGAACACCTTCAGCAGCAACAACAACGAACCCAAGCCCGCAGCGGTCCGACCGAACGGACCGAGGCTCGACCGTGGGTGCACCACGAACCGGTCGAACATGACCTGTATCGCTCCGAACGTGAAATTGAGCTTGAAGAAGATGAAGACGGCGAGCCACGTCTTGCCTCTGATGAGTTCGCGGCTCTTGGACATGGCGCGGAAGCCCCAGGAGTCTTCGAGGACCGAGATTACGCTGGCCAGCTGCCAGACGACGGTGGCGTAGAGGAAGCCGGCGAAGTAGAGGATGAGGAGGACCGGGAAGGCGTAGTCCGCGACGGGAGACGTGGCGAGGGTGACGGCGGCGAGGACGAAGAGGAGGAAGAAGATCAAGTTGTAGGCGAAGATAAAGAGGAAGTAGCAGAGGAAAGTCAGGATCAGGCGCTTCCATACTTTCGGGACCACCACGGTTATCACCTTCAGTTTTGTACGTAATTAAGGACACACAACAAAAAGAAGAATGTTAAAGTTAAACTAACCAATATAAAAGGAAATTAGTTATGAAAATAGACATTATATATATGTGGGAAGGAGAATGAATGAAGTTTGTAATGTAAGGGGAAAAAAGTCCAATTTGGATGTGGTATTTGTCAAACATATTATTTGGGACCAACTAACACACAAATATTACATGTCACAATACATGTTATTATCGATTTTCATCTTTAAAATCCACAATTTTATCAAATCTTGATATAAACTCTCGATTCTTATTATCCCAATTTGACCAAACACCTTCAAAAGGAAAATTAGGGGAGATTTTATGCAGTAAATTAGTTTATATTGACTGTTTAATTAAACAGCCTACATGTATCTGTGACAAAAAGAAGTACGTCTATATTTCCCTTCATAAAATAAATAAATCATATTATCAAACTTAATGATCATCATCACAAGCTGCGAAATCGTGATAATTACTCCTACCACAGAAAAACATTGATCACCGCAACTAACGAATCAAATTATCAAGGTTGTCAACCCGCGGGTTGACCCGCGGGTCGACCCAATTTGACCCTGACCCGATGAGAAAAACGGGCCGCACGCACCCGCCGGGTCGACCGCTACAAGGTACCGTGTTGGAGGTCAAATTGTTTTATTTTTTTCTTTGATTTGCGAAATGCGCCTATTTTCCGATTTTTCTTTTCGCCTAACTCAATTTTTGAAATCCTAAGTTGAACATTTGAATATTTATGTTATATAAGTGTGTGTGAATTTTCACTATCTGTTGGATCTAAGTACGATATGTTATTTTGGTGTAATATTATATGTTATAACTCATATGTTAGATAAGATTTGATATAATTTATGAGGATAAGTACAATATAGTGACTCTTTCCATATTTCCGGCCCAAACCGAGCTAAAACGGTCGACCCATTAACCCTTGACCCACTAGCTCGACCGGGTCCGGGTCAACCCACGAGTTGACAACCTTGCAAATTATTCTTTTCTTTGAAACGCAATAACGTGGGCGGAGATCTCCTGGAGAGACCACACAGAAAAACATTAATAAAAAAACAGAATTCATATACACGTGTACCTTTCGGAAGGAGAGATCGGGGCGGGAGGTGTAGAGCGAGGCGACGGTGAAAACGACGGCGGCGGTGGAAAGCAGCGAGAAGACGAGAAGGAAAGTGAAGTAGGCCGCCTTCAGCAGCCAGAAGTAGGTCCACTCGGCGGTGAGCACGCCGTCGATCTTCGACCGGCGCGAGGAGGCGGCGGCGGGGGTTTGGTCCAGCTGGATTTCTGAGCGGATGATGTTGGAGAGGAGGAGGTCGGAGAACTCCTTGTGGGCCAGGAAGACCAGAGCCAGGGGAAGGATCAATGCGAGTGTGATTCGGGAGAAGATTCTCCGCCACGCGACGATGATCCTGTAGGATTCCTTGTACACTCCGAACATCCCCAGGAACTGCATCTCTTCTTGCTCCCTGTCCATGGCGATCGATGGAGGGAAAACAGAGGGGGAAAACAGAGGAGGAAAAACAGAGGGTGTTTGGTGGAGAAATTTGGGGTGGGAAGTCGAGAGAGAGAGAGATTGAGATGATGGGTCAACGTTGATCGATCGATGTTAACTAACTATAATATTGTTGTTATGTGGTTTGATTAATTGGGTTTGGTGGTGTAATGTATAGGAGGAAAATGGTGAGGGAGAAAATGATTGGGCAGTTGGTGGGAGGTGGGAAATGGTGGTGGAATTGTTGGAGGGATGTTTCCAATCCATCAAACTTCTTCTTCTTCTTCTGTGTGTTCCATGCTGGCTTGTGTTGCAGGCTTCTACTATTTTGTTGGTTAATTATGAGTTTAGTCATTGAACTTTTTCGTCTTACCAGAACGAGCCACTAGATTAAAATATTATGTTCATTTATTTATTTCAATTTTAATGCGATCCCCTCATGAGTATAGGTTAAGACTCTATTTCCTACTCTTACAGTTGAAAGTGCGGGCGATCGCTCATTTCGGGAGCCGGGTCTATTCATCTAATCTAGCTAATTGTCGTTACTTTTCATCTTTCCTCTTCGAGATCGTCTAAGTTGTCTCAAAACGATGCATGGGACTCGTCCTTCCTCTATCGCTGGAAGTAAAGTTTTTCTTTTAAGTACTCTAGCAGCGGAACGGTTGGACTCGACACTGGGCTGTCATTGGTTCTTGCTCTGATTTGGGCCGAGTCTTTCTTATTGGGCTTGTCCTAGGCTCTTTTTGTGATTATTAGTAGACTTCTCCGTCACTAGACCTCGTCTCTAACATAGAAACTCCATATTCTTCTCACGTTTGCTCATTTGCTCCTCCATATTTGTCTAATGTTGGATCCAAAATAATCCTAGATTGTATTTTTCCTTGAACATACAAAAAATGCATAAAGGAATACAAAAACACAACCTAAGTCTATCAAATGCCCATTGATCAAATAGTTAATTAATATATAAAAGCCAAGGTTGTAGGTTACTATTCATTAGTGGCTCTCGCACTCCTCCAAGTGCAAGTGGGCAAGTTCCAAACCATTTTTTTACCCCTCTCTATTCTACAACCTTTGTCTTTAGTTGTTATTATTATTAGTAATTAATTAATTTAATATATAAAAGCCAAAGTTGTGGGTTACTATTCATTAGTGGCTCCCACACTCCTCCAAGTGCAGGTGGGTAAGTTCCAAACCCTTCTTTTATCTCACTCTCCATTCTACAACCTTTGTGTTTAGTTATTATTCACTAGATTTTAGTAGCTTTTTGCACAAATCATCGTCTTTGTGTTTTGTTATTGTTCGTTAGGTTTCCGTCTATGGCTTTCTCCACAAATCATCGCTTTTGTGTTTAGTTATTGTTTGCTAGGTTTTCGTTATATGGATTTTTGCACAAATCATCGCTTTTTCCCACCAATTTGCAGCTCATCTCGAAATACCGTCGGTGGAATCCTAAGTTGTTCCCCATCATCGTTTTCCAAGGCCGTTACCACGAATTTTGTATCTGGACAGAGTTTCATCCTCTTTAGTGTTTTATTATTGTTCGCTAGCTTTCGTTTATGACTTTTTTGCACAAATCATCGCCTTTGCCCACCATTTTGCAGCCCATCTCGAAATATTATCGGCGGAATCCGAAGTTGTTCTCCACCATCGTTTTCTACCACGAGTTTTGTATCAAGACCGAGTTTCATCCTTTTTAGTATTTTTTTTTTCTTTCTTTTTTCTTTTTTGTTGAGCATGATCACAATATTTGAACACAAATTCATGGGTATCCAACCTAATTCGATCCAGTCAAAGCGACTTGAAACCGACTTTAGCATTTATAAATTTCTTTTTTCTTCTTCTTTTGGTTGGGAAGATAGTTAAACCTATGAATTTGTGTTGTATTGTGAGCGAGCTTTATCCGCTTTTGTAGTTGGCAGGTTGCACCAAGTGTTAATTTGTTAAAAATTGTTCAAAGTGAGTTTAACACGTTGTTGACCAGTTTTTGATCGAAGGCGAGTTTTGTACGCTTTAATATGTTTTATTGCTCATTTTCCTTTTCGTTGAGAATGATAATTGAACTCTTACCCATCGTTGACGCGTTTCGTATCGAGAGCGAGCTTTATCCGCTTTTGTAATTGACAGGTTGGGTAAATTGTGAATTTGTTAAAATTGGGTAGACTTGGTCAAAGCGAGTTGAATGCGGTGTTGAGAATTTGGGGTCATGAGCGAGTTTTATCTGCTTTACTATTTTTTTTATCTTTTACTTTTGGTTGAGAATGACAATTTAGTCCAAACGCATGGGTATACAACCTAATTTGACCCGACCAAAGCGACTTTAACCTGACTTTACAGGTTTTCGGCGGGAGCGAGTTTTATTTGTTTTTGTAATTGGCATGTTGTGCCAGGTGTGAATTTGTCCATAACTCGGTCCAACGAGGTCAAAATGAGTTGAACCTGGTGTTGGCGAGCTTTGAGTCGGTAGCGAGTTTTAGTTTTAGTGTTTTTCATTTCACTTTTTCCTTTAGTTTGAGAAAGAAAATTGAACACAAATCCATGGATATCCAACCTAATTTGACCGGATTAATGCGAGTTGAACCTCCTCAAACCTGCAATCAGTCCAAAATTTTCATAAAGGAGAACTAAGATTATCTCAAACCCCAAAAAAAGAAAGTCATAAAAATTGAAAAATTAGCGTCATGAAATAAGTTTAAACATAAATAATCTATTCAACGACCCCTCTACCTTATGCAAGTTCATCGACCATATGCTATTGTAAATAACAAACCTATGAAAAGAATGATTAAGAATGAAATAAGATTACTTTCACTTTTGGGCCAACATTCAAACTATTATTCTTTAAAATATTTGTTTTAGTGATATGTGAAGCGATAGCGAGCGGGCTTTTGCTAGTTAGTATAAAATATACTAAATATGCATTGATAGAATGAGAAAATGTATCAAATATGGAAGTGATAAACACTATAAATCGCGTAAAGGCACAATTGATGACACGTGAAAGTATCTATTCTAGACCCCTGTATTGTGACCCTAAGTGCATACATTTTCCATCAACAGTGTCATAATAGCTTAAATTATCACTATGCTTACTTCAAGTTTGTTATAGCAACACTAGGATTGCTTTTATACGACTGACACACTTTTGGAAGCATTTTATACATTTACAGGCAAAGCAGTCTAGCGGACCACTTGGAAGTCGTAGGGGGCATCGAGACCAAGTTGTTGGAGCTAGGATTCAGAGATCAGACACATGGTAAAAAGGCTCCCTGAGTGTCATGTTGATGAAGGAAAAAGGTGGCCACAGTGCGGTTTTGGGGAGCTCGTCCACTTCATAAAAAAGTTACCCCAGAGCATCTTGATTCGCTGGCCATGTGTTTGGAGCACTCCTTATTGGCTAAATGACGCAGGAGCTGCGAGTTTTACTCCTCGGAAAGGCTAATCGAAGACCTATAAATAGAGCTATAGATGTAGAGTTTGAGTGGAGGAGACGAGAGGTCAAGGAATGGTCGTTACTCTGCCGACAGAGCAACCCTCCTAACTTAGAACGATTGAGATCACCCTTGGAGGGGGAATCGGCACCCCTAGGCCTGTTTTCTCTGTTTCAAGCATCGATTCCAGCAGACCTCCTAGTGTCTTTGTTTCCATCAATAAACACCCAGGAACCCCTCCCCATGGGTGGCTAAGTTCCTTAGTTGCGTATGTATGTGAACCATAGTGGTTCTAACCATGTAAACTTGATAATTTGGTTTAATACAATTGCTTGATTTTCAGATGTTAAATGCTTGATTTCCTTTATTTCGTTATTTGTCTATTTGAATGAGAGCTTACAATAGATCCACACTCCTTCGAGGTGCAAGGATTGAACATCTCAGTCATTTAGGATGGGACTAGAAATAGCAATCTTACTCGATCGACCTTCATGCGATCGAAAGTCGTGACGCCTCGAGGGAGAAATCCGAAAGGTCCTTGTAGCCCATTAGTTCGGGTAAATGATTTAACACAAAGTGGGATCTAACGAGATAAGAAATCGGAATCTCTATGCTACCGATCATCGAGGGTGCATGGTTAGAAGACCTAAGGGGAGCTTGGCTATGCAACGGCTTCCTTCTCCGGTCCCCTCACTCGTCAATTAGCTTAGGATTAACTTTTTTTGCACCGTTTTACTTTTCGAACTCTTACAATTTGCAAACCCGGAGGTACTTCGTCCTCCAAAACCAAATCTCTTCTTGAATAAAACCATACCTCGCTTCCTAAGTAAGGATTCTGTAAGATGCCCAAGGGAATACGATCCAGGCCTTAGGGCCAGGTAAATTTGGTAGCGACACTACAATCAACGTCAAATTTTGGCACCATTGTTAGGGAGATCTCGCAAAGCTTCAGACAAGGGAATGAGGTAAGATTCTATTTCCCTTTCCGTTCATGTTTAATTTTTCAGTTTTGAGTCAAAGTGAGTCCTGGTAGAACGATAGTCGGAGCGTTGATTCTACCTGTATGTTTGTTTCATTTTTCTTTTTAATTCTTTCCTTTAGTGTTTTGTTTTTGTGTTTTTTAGTCATGTGTGTGTGTGTGGATGGAGACCAGGGACCAGGTATAGTTATTCCGAAAAGGGCGGAAAAAGTCCTTCTAATTTCTTTCATAGGTGGCGTCGATTATTGAGGAGTTCGTTTTGCTACCACAATTCAGCCTCTCTCCTGCGCATGAGCCCTTCACGAACTAGGGTCAAAGTCAAGAAGTTTAGACGGAAAATACTTGTCCAAGGTCGTGATTATATGAGTGGTGATCTTTCTGATCAGAAGACACCACCTTCAAGAAAGAGAAAGAGGTAGAAGAAGTTGCTTATTGTTCTTCACTCAAATTCCCTCTACGATGTAGGTTCAGAAGTTGAGAGTAAGTCCTCTCCCTATGAAGCCCAACCACCTAGAAGTATGGCTGAATGAACTCTCTATAAGTATCCAAGGCCTTAAGCTACGAAAATTGGTTCCAACATCATCCTACCTCAGGTCCATGTTTCTAACTTCGAGCTATGCACTTCAATGATCCATATTATCTAGAATGTTGGACACCTTGAGGGCCACCATAACGAGAATCTGGTCGAGCATATCAAAACATTTCTATAAATATGTTATTCTTCACATCAACCAAGAATGGAGGCGGACGCAATATGGCTACATCTCTTTCCT